TAAATTCTAAGTCGAAAAAGGGGCATAATTCTGTCAAAATGCTTGATAGAGTTACCTCCTCCTGTCTACAGGTTGGGATCATGATGGTGAACAAGTGTGAAAAGTTTCAAAGCCATATGTCAATGGACTTTGAAAATATTTGAACTATTACAAAAACTTTAACATAAATTCTAAGTCGAAAAAGGGGCATAATTCTGTCAAAATGCTTGATAGAGTTACCTCCTCCTGTCTACAGGTTGGGGTCATGATTGTGAACAAGTGTGCAAAGTTTCAAAGCCATATGTCAATGGACTTTGAAAATATTTTAACTATTACAAAAACTTTAACGTAAATTCTAAGTCGAAAAAGGGGCATAATTCTGTCAAAATGCTTGATAGAGTTACCTCCTCCTGTTTACAGGTTGGGGTCATGATGGTGAACAAGTGTGCAAAGTTTCAAAGCCATATGTCAATGGACTTTGAAAATATTTGAACTATTACAAAAACTTTAACGTAAATTCTAAGTCGAAAAAGGGGCATAATTCTGTCAAAATGCTTGATAGAGTTACCTCCTCCTGTCTACAGGTTGGGGTCATGATGGTGAACAAGTGTGCAAAGTTTAAAAGCCATATGTCAATGGACTTTGAAAATATTTGAACTATTACAAAAACTTTAACATAAGTGGTTACGCCGACGCCGACGCCGACGCTCGGGTGACTGCAATAGCTCTACTTATTCTTATCGAATAGTCGAGCTAAAAATAGAAACACGCAATTTCTATGAATAGTAACCTGCAATTCTAACAAGAGCTGTCGGTAGGACAGCAACGCTCGACTATTCTTAGTGCTTGATAAAAAAAAATGCTTGATACAGTTACCTCCTCCTGTTTACAGGTTAGGGTAATGATGGTAAACAAGTGTGTAAAGTTTCAAAGCCATATGTCAATGGACTTTGAAAATATTTGAACTATTACAAAAACTTTAAAGTAAATTCTAAGTCGAAAAAGGGGCATAATTCTGTCAAAATGATTGATACAGTTACCTCCTCCTGTTTACGGGTTGGGGTAATGATGGTGAACAAGTGTGCAAAGTTTAAAAGCCATATGTCAATGGACTTTGAAAATATTTGAACTATTACAAAAACTTTAACGTAAATTCTAAGTCGAAAAAGGGGCATAATTCTGTCAAAATGCTTGATACAGTTACCTCCTCCTGTTTACAGGTTGGGGTTATGATGGTGAACAAGTGTGCAAAGTTTCAAAGCCATATGTCAATGGACTTTGAAAATATTTGAACTATTACAAAAACTTTAACGTAAATTCTAAGTCGAAAAAGGGGCATAATTCAGTCAAAATGCTTGATACAGTTACCTCCTCCTGTTTACAGGTTTGGGTAATGATGGTGAACAAGTGTGCAAAGTTTCAAAGCCATATGTCAATGGACTTTGAAAATATTTGAGGTATTACAAAAACTTTAACATAAATTCTAAGTCGAAAAAAGGGGCATAATTCTGTCAAAATGCTTGATACAGTTACCTCCTCCTGTTCACAGGTTGGGGTAATGATGGTGAACAAGTGTGCAAAGTTTCAAAGCCATATGTCAATGGACTTTGAAAATATTTAAACTATTACAAAAACTTTAACATAAGTGGTTACGCCGACGCGGACGCCGACGCTCGGGTGACTACAATAGCTCTACTTATTCTTATCGAATAGTCGAGCTAAAAATAGAAACACGCAATTCTAAAAATAGAAACAAGCAATTTCTATAACTAGTAACACGCAATTTCTAAGAATAGAAACACGCAATTTGTAAAAATAAAAACACCTAATTCTATAAAAAGTAACACGCAATTCTAAAAAACAGAAACACGCAATTCTAAAAATAGAAACACGCAATTCTATAAATAGAAACCCGCAATTCTAAAATTAGAAACCCGCAATTCTATAAATAGAAACCCGCGATCCTATAAATAGAAAATAAATAGACCGATCAAGACCGAATTTTCTCCCTTGAATAAAAAAATGTAAAACGAGTTTTGATTCGCCGTTTCATTTTTAGTGTCCAATCAAATTCTAGACATTCGATGATCTTGTACTCGGAAGAAAATGTCGTGTTACTGCATTATTAAATTATTACGTTGGCGCTACGCCACGCAAAAAACGTAAATTATCTAATGAAGGAAAAAAGCGAAACAAAAGAAATACGAGTCCAGGCGCCTGCCGAGAAAATTTGTGGGTAAATGGAAAAATAGCCGCTCGTGGTTGGTTTTTAACGAGGAAGAAAATAAGATGAAATGTACATTGTGTCATAAATTTTATGAAGATTATATGATGATTTTGATCATGAATGTTTAAATTTCCAGACAGAGTCCATCAATCTGGATAAGCTGATGTTTTGTTTAAGAGAATAAAATTGTGTTGCAAATCTTAAAAGTTCCTATGTCTTTATAAAAAACACAAAAATATAAAAATACATATACATATATTTGGAAAAAAAATTCGGTTAGACAAAAGTTCTTTCGGTCAGACAAAAATTGAAAGTTTGTCTGACCGAATGTCAGGCAAATGTTCAGCAGTTTCGCGAAGCCTGTAATCTAATATATCCTTGAAGATTATTATGTTCAAGTTTGAAGACAATCCATTCAAAAATAACAAAGTTACAGCCAATAACAGCATTAACAAGCAAAAATTGGACTTTTAACTTTGAAGGTCAAGGTTAGTGTGGTCTACTGAAAGGTCTTGTCCCAAGGGTTGTTGTGGCCAAGTATGAAGACAATACACCTAGAAATAAAAAAGTTATGATCCAGGTACAAGTTTGCGGACGGGAACGGCAACGGCAACGCCGACCCGACTATAACAATACCTCTACTTTTTTTTTCAAAAAAAAAAGTCGAGCTAAAAATGAAAATATCACTTAATAGTGTTATGTACTTTACCATAGAGCTAAATCCGTACTGTAACGTACCGAAAAATGGTGTTTAGCTAGGTTTTCGAAAGGTCATTTTGTTCAATCGAATTTTGAGACCGAAAATATCAAACAAATAGGTTAAAAAGCAGCAATACAATACTTCAAAGACAAATGTTATCAAAAGACAATAAAATAGACAACAATTCTGTATAACAAACCTATTTCGCCAATTTTTAAGACTAATAAACTCTTCTTCCCAACAATCGTTACAAATGGTGCAAAATTTTCAAAGGGAGTCAATCATGTCTAAACTAAATATGATTCATACATAATCGATTCGTACCGAAACCACCACAACGGCATCAACAGAGACTATAAAGTTATGGAAGACAGGGGTGAGAGTGGTTTCATCGAACTACCGTATAATATTTGGTTCTTTGTATAGACAATAGTCCATAATATTCTAATGACATCTAAGTCATTGTATAAACAACTAACACGATTGTGTGTCTTGACTGTTTAATTTACTAATACCAAGTGCGCTGGAGCTGGGAATACATGTTACAGAGAATCATGGGAAGTATAGACTTGCTATAGTGATAACATAAATGAATTATAAGTACATAATTTTACATCTCCTTTGTTTTGAAAATAAAAAATAGTGAATTATTATATGTACCCCTAAAATTTTCTTAACTTATAAAGTTAGATAAATCATAATTATACAACAAAATGAAATTATTAAGCCAATATTAGTCCACCAACCTCGATAGCCTGGTGTATCAGCTGGGGGATCTTCTCACTGGGAAGAAAAGGCTAGGACATCATTTCATATTTAATTCTATATAAAATAAATATTGTGTCATATTTAATTCTACATTAAATATATATTAAATGCAGTTCCTTTATTCTTGATTGTTAGGCTCCGCCTACTTAGTGTACTGACCAATTAAATTCATATTATTAGACAGTCTTAGAAATAAACCCAAAGTATCAACATCTCGTTTACTCTGCATCCAAAATAAATAAACAAACATAAAACAGAGATTTTCATGTTTGTCCTGCTTATCTTGATATGACATGGCAATACCTTCTGCCTTGGTCGTCCGATACAGCTTCTGGTTCTAGTGGAAGACACAATTATAACCTTTCACCAGATCTAGAACCTTGTTATGTCCAGGGTATAGATATTATAAGAAACACATTTGATTGTAACTACGTTTATTTAGAAAGCCATGTTATATCTTGACCGGAAGTTCAGTACTCTTTTTACCCATCATGCAATATAGTTATAAATAGCAGACTACAGTAATGAAGGATATTACATCCCTCCTCTTCTTGGATTGAAACATCATCTTATATAAATTTATTATTGTGAATATTATTAAATCAATATTTTTTTTAATTAATGATTTTTTTTAGTTCTAAATACAATACATATTCAAATAACCAAAATCATAAACATGTACATTAATGTATATAATATTTCTACAGATGGAACACAAATTCAGCATCGAACTGTAATTGTCCGAGTTTGTTTATATCAGCATTCCTTACTCCACGTGGTCTGTTATAAAGCAATTAATCATGAGGAAAACTGGGAACTGTCCGAATTCCAACCGTTTGTAGGTCAGTTTTACTACAGCTTTATTACCAATGAATAACGTTAGTCAATGAAACTTTTCTACTACTTGAGCAATATCAGACATATTACACTTTACAAACATGGATAATTTCCTTGTCTCTCCAACATCACTATTAATTAAACACATTAGTTATGCTTTTTTTTATTTGATATCCTTGAGTTTGATAATATTTAAATGATATAAAAGCATTTAATAATATAAACCCTATAATAAACTCCAGAGGGGATATTCCAGTATGCTCCACTATATGTGTGTATTGTCAAACATTCATTCATTATATAGTTCGCTATTTGGGTATTATATATATTTATTAACTTGATTAATTATTCATGTTCTCGAATATAATAATTACTTTGATAATTCTAAATTTAATCAAACACATATATATCCATGATGTACAATCGAATAAAACACATACGATTGGCATTATTATGGCCAATTCACTTTCTTTTAAAATACACGCTCTGTTAGCGCGGCACATAATCTTTTAAGTATGGTGGAGGACGTCTGTCACGTGTTGGCCTTGTCCTCGCCAAACCCGATTGCGGACTCGCGTGTGAATTCTGTTCATTTCCTATTATCTCCCCTTCATCGAGGTCGTTTTCAGATGTTTCCGGTTCCTTCCCGACAATTCCAGGATCAACAGTTTTCATAACTGACGAATTTCGAGTCATACAATGACCAGCATCGTTCCTAACACTTATCATTGTCCCTCTTCTGTCAATAACCGTATATGGCGTAGGTTTGTATATTGAATCAGATTTTGTTCTGGCTTCATTTCTAACTAACACACGATCCCCTACGTTAATTGATCTGTCCCTTGCATGTATCCGTTCGTCTTCATATCGTTTTGCTTTCATTTTCGAAAAATCGTCGTTCTGTTGCGTTATTTCTCTCGTTTGAAGATTTCCACTTTTACCATGACCGATGTTTGGCATTCGAGTCGTCGGATCTCTACCAAACATTAACTTGAATGGCGTATAACCAGTTGATACGTGTGGTGTCGCTCGGTATTGTCTTAAGAAATCATACAGTCCTTGTTTGTAGTTTCGCGCCTCAATAAATGAAGATTTTACACTCTTCATCAGTGGTTTATTGAAGGATTCTGCTTGGGCATTTGCTCTTGGCCATCTCGGTGTGATTTTCCGATGAATTATGCCGTAAAATTTCATGAAGTCAGCAAATGCTTTACTTTGAAATGGAGACCCATTGTCGGTTTTTATCACTTCCGGTATAGCAAACATTGATACAATCTTGTCGAACACCGGGATAACTGTGTTTGCTGAAATATTTTTTATTATTTCAACTATCGGATAGCTCGAATACTCGTCTATTACCACAAGTAAATAGTCCCCGTTTTCTAACGGACCACAAAAGTCAGCGCTTATATTGAGCCAAGGTCCCGACGGCAATTCACTCATTCTAAAAGGTTCACGCGGTCCTTGTTCATTTGAATTTGATTGACATGCTAAACACTTTTGAATCGCAGCTTCGATTTCAGAATTCATGTTTGGAAAATATACTTTCGATCTTATGTAACTTTTTGTTTTCACAATTCCTTGGTGACCTTCATGTCCTAGTTTTATTGCTTTTTCACGGAGTGATTTTGGGATCACTAGTTTATCATTTTTCATCAATAATGTTTCATTATACACAGTCAATTCGTCCTTTATACTACGAAAAGATGATAATTCTTCTTTGTCTATTTCTGGGTCATTCAGTGTTTTCAATTCATACCATTTACCATTCTTTGTAAATTCGACTGCCTTTTGCATTGTCTTATCTTTCAATGATTCCATTTTTACCTCATCTACTGTCATTGCATTTGGTAATGATTGTTCTGCGACAAATGACACGTATTCCTCTGCTATATTTCGTTCTTCCATATAATTTAATGGATGACGGGACATAAAGTCTGAGGGATTATCTTTCCCTGACCTATACTCTATTTTCATTTTGAACGGTTGAAGTCGCAATCCCCAACGTTCGATTCTTAGTGGTGGTTGTTTTTTTTCCCAAATTTTAGTTAACGGCATGCAATCAGTAATGCATGTGAATGTTGGTGCTCCCTTTAGATACATCGCAAAATGTTCGCATGACCATACCAAAGCCAGTGCTTCTCGTGAACTAGAACTAGAATCTATGTCCGGACCACGCATATTTTCATTTTTAACATTGCCTTTTAATTTTTTTCCCAATCTTTTGATATGAATATCATCATAAACATGTCGTATATTTAACTTTTTCCCCCATAAAGACGTCTTTTGACGGCCTTTTGTCCCATCCCTCATTTTGAGGCCTCAAACATTGAAAAAAGCTCTATTTAGACCTCAAACACTGTTTTTCGTTTGAGAAATGTTGTTTAAAAATGTGATCACGTTTTCGGCGCGCCCATCAAAATAATACACCAATGGCCCGGGTTGACAGAAAGGGGATGTGCACCCTTTCTGTTTTAGGGGTTTAAATGGAGGGCGGCAGTACTCCTCATCGCCAAGAAAATTGTGGACATGTGACAGCTCAGATCGATCTAAAGGTTAAGTGTAACCAACGCTGAAAAGCCTTTTACTCTATCTCAATGCATTGAGAGTTGCAGCACTTTACAAAACAGTTATGATGGGAAAAAACAATGGAAAATAGTGAGTGATTTTACGCAATTTTGAGACGTCCCACCGTTGCCATGGTAACAGACAATTTTAGATTGATCATGCTGTTACAAAAGCTATTGTCCAGCCAAGTTTTATCAGTATTGAAGCATTTTTCATAGTTCCATAGCCGTTTGAACTTGTAACAGGAGGCTTTTCAATGAAAACGGCCATTTTTCACAATATGCTCATGTGGTAAAAGGTTAAGGATTTCCTTATCGGACAGATTTATATTTAAAACTTCAAACATCGACCTCGTTGAATATGTATGAATTAAACATGTGCACACGAAATGATATTGATTGTGGATTAATATGCTATATTTATTATTATCTACATTGACTCATTCAATAATAAGTATAAAATAGCTAGCGTATATACTAGAGGGAATAGATTGAGAAAATCTCATATGTAAAACATAATTTCATTCTGTGCTGATGCTATTATAAACTTGAAACAATTACTTTAATTGTAATATTTTATATATATCATAATATCATATAGATGTATAAAGGAATATTGATAATTTACATTAGTTAATTAGAATATGAAAACAAAGGAATAGCTAATAAACAATTAATGTATACATGCATGTATATTAATTTGCTAAAGAGACACCATCTCAATGGAGACATAGCACAAAACCATTTCTGATATTAACTAACTCGTTAAAGAATCAAAATTGAGGAGCATTTGACAACGCAAATCAACCAGGAGCGTGCAGTCAAAATTGAAGAATTATTTTTAATTTAAACAATCAGAAGGGTTATATTTATATTATTATGTATTAAGGTATTTTATGGTAGAAGGAAATATCTTTATTGACATTTTTTTCTATAATCAATTTTACACTATCTCAACTCTGTGTTGAGTCCCTGTGATCATGTCCACGAGCAGCTCTATACCATATCGGAACGCTGTAAATCGATCTGAGCATTCTTTGATTATATGCAAACAATCATATTTGTGTTATAACCATATTGACCTTGACCTTTTACTATGTCACCACCATATAAAAAAGCATCATGTACGGTTATGACGAAACGCAACATCAAATCTTATAAATGCATGTAGATCCAAGTCTTCAAGTCAAGATTAAAGTGACCTTGACCTTTCATGACCAACCTCACAATTTAAATGACTTTGGTCAAAGAGTTATTTACATGTATTAATTGGTTGGACAATTTTTTGTTTAAAGTCACACTGGCCTCGACCTTTGACCATCTAATATACATGAATATATATATAGATCTAATTAACTAACCATGACTTTCATGTATGGAAGTTATCCAGCCATGTTTGTTTTACTCGGGTCCTTTTCTTGCATAAAAAAGAATAAAAGGGCACCTTCTTCACCTTCAAAGCTCAAAGTCACCGTAGGAACTATGGTGCGACGTTTAACCTATCCGAAACAAGATTGCATTTGAGAAAAATGCTATTCCACCACATTAAAACAACACTAAATAGTAGTGTATGAACAGATTTTTGTTGTTTCTATACAATTTTGAAGATTGTCATAATGCATAGATCCCTGACCTATCTATAATTCTTATTATCAAATTAGTGCTTAAATATGTTGTTAACTCAATAAAAGATCAGAGTAGGAATATAGGAATATATCAGTGCAATCGAATCTATTGAATTTGGTGGTAAAGGTCATATTTCACACAGCCTAAATTTCATGACTACATCAAAAGACAACACAATAAGACCCTTTGTCAAAAACTAGGTCAGCTGATATCAAAGTTCATTTTACATCTAAATATGTGCACATGGTTCAAATTTCATAGCTGTACAACAAAGGAAAAGAAAGTAAGTCACATCATCAAAATCTAGGTCACCTGATATCAAAGTTCAATTTTACAACTAAAACTGTGCACTTGGTCAAAATTTTATCAAAGGACAAGAAAGTAGGTCACTGTCCCCTTGGGCAAGGCAAAATTTTGGACCCAAGGTTTTAATTCAAAATATCTTGATACAGGTCCACCAAACAACATTTCAAGTCAAATATCTAAGCTGTAGCTTTCTTCCATTTAGAAAACATTTGTTTTATTTTCTGTTTTTACTATGTGTAAATAATGAGAATCACAAATTTTGACACCAGGGGGAAATTTTTAACAACTTTTGTAGAGGACCTATAGATGATATTATATAGCAAAAATCAAAGTTCTATGTCTTGTACCGTCAGACAAAAACAATTTTTATTTTTTGACTATATATGTACATAATGAAAATGATTTACCCCGGGGCGAAACAAATTTTGACCCCAGGGCTATAATTTGAACAATCTGGGTAAAGGTTCACTTCGCAAAGTCTCATGCCACATATCTAACCACTAGCCTTTGTCAATTCAGAAAAGAAGATTTTTCAATTCAGAGAAAAAGATATTTCAAGTTTTCACTTTATACATGTAAGGAAAACTATCGCCTCTGGGGCAGGGCAATTTTTACAATAGGGGCATAATTAAAACAACTTTAGTAGAGGACTGATAAATGATATTATATACCAAATATCAAAGCTCTAAGCCTTGTACCTTTAGACAAGAATATTTTTAATTTTTTACTATATGTACACAGTGAAAATCAATGACCCCTGGGGGTGGGGCCAATTTTGACCCTGGGCTATAATTTGTATAATCTTGCTAGAGGTTCACTACATAATGTTTCTTGCAAAATATCTAAACTCTAGCCTTTGTAAATTTAGAGAAGATGATTTTTTTTAAATTTTACTATATATATATATGGAAAACCTATGGCCCTCGGGGCGGGGCTAATTTTGACACTAGAGGCAAAATTTGAACAACTAATAGGTGTTATTATTTAACAAATATTAAAGCTCTAAGCCTTGTACCTTCAGACAATAAGAATTTTTGATTTTTTACTGTATTCTTATATTGAAAATCAATGACCCCCGTAGCGGGGGAAATTTTGACCCCAGGGCTATAATTTGAACATCTTGCTAGAAGTTCACTTCACAATGTTTTATGCAAAATATCTAACATCTAGCATTTGTCTATTGCTAGAAGATTTTTAAAAAGTTTTTACTATAAGTTTATACTATATACATGTAAGGAAAACCAATGACCCCGGGACGGGGCCGATTGTGACCCAAGGGCTATAATTTGAACAATCTGGGTAGAGGTTACCAGACAATGACTTATGCAAAATGTCTAAGCTCTAGACCTTTTGGGTCTTTACAAGAAGGTATTTTAAATTTTACTATATGTATATATAGTGAAATCAATGACCCCCGGGGCAGGGCTGATTTTGACCACAGGGCTATAATTTGAACAATCGTGGTAAGGGTCTACCAGACAATGCCTATGCAAAATATCTAAGCTCTAGCTAGGCCTTTTGTGTCCTTACAAGAAGGTATTTTAAGTTTTTACTATATGTACATATAGTGAAAATCAATGATCCCCGGGGCGGGGCTGATTTTGACCCCAGTGCTATAATTTAAACAGTCTTGGTAGAGGTCTACCAGACAATGCCTTATGCAAAATATCTAAGCTCTAGGCCTTTTGGGTCTTTACAAGAAGATTTTTTTAATTTATTCTAATTATTCCTTGTGGTTGCCATGGCAACCAGATTTTTGCATGGAATGAAATTCTTTGAACAACTTTGGAAGCCCTTCATCCAAGGATCAATCCTGCTAAGTTTGGTTGAAATTAGACTAGTGGTTTTTTACAAGAAGATTTTTGAAGTTTACTATATAATCTTTATAACCCACAAACACGCACGCAAGCACGCACACACCCACACAGGTGAATCGCTATTTGCCACCGCATAGCAGATGCTGTGGTGGCATATAAATCCCACAAACAAACCATTACCAACTCCACATAAAATAATTTACACATTGTAAACGACACTTACAATCAACGTAAGCAATACAAAACTAGGCCAAAGTAGGGAGAAAAAACCCTTACTGCCTTAGTAAATACGCAGTCGAAATAAGTATGGTGATAAATACTACGAAAGTGTAAGTATTATTCGCACATAACATGTAAATAAATTCTTGAATCTTTTTACTTTTCTTAAAATCTTATAGTACCTTTTTCTATCTAGTTTGATTTTCTTAAATTTGGCTCATCTGGATGAATGCAGCTTTCAAGTAAACTAACGTCCTGTCTAGGAAAATAAAACCACAAAAGCAAGTGCATATGTACATGTATAACTTCTATTTTTACAAACACATTTTATTACACAAAGCAAAAGCCCTTCCGGACAAACGTCTACCAGTGAAGATGATAGAGCGGACAAAAAGCCCTCTCATGAAAATTACAGGCGGACAAAAGCCCTCCCGTGAAAGTCATCGGCGGACAAAAGCTATCTCGTAAAAATAATAGGGCGGACAAAAGCCCTCCCGCGGCAAAACATAAGTACGTTGAATGAATATCTGGATTAAAACTGCAGCCACTAGAATGTTAACTAGCTTTTTCTATTTTTTTGCTTCTGTGACTTTGCTATTGACCGGTTCGAACTTGACCTAGAAATCATCAAAACAACCTTCCTGACAAATTTCCAGAATATTTTGATCAACACTGCAGCCACTAGAATGTTAACAAGCTTTTACTATTTTTAGCTCCTGTGACCTAGTTTTTGACTCGAGATAACCCATCTTCAAACTCGGTCTGTATTTCATCAAGA